AATACTGACTTTTAGCTTTTAGATGTAATTAATCCCAATGCTCAGAGTTTACCAAAAAAAGATACCAGCTTTGTAAACTTCCTAACATTCCCTTCTAGCAAAAAAGTTAAGAAATTACAGTTTTCTAAACAGTCCTACAATGACAAAATAATCAAAACACGATTATTGTTTTATATGAACAAACCACACTTTTCTTCAGTTCTAACCAGCTAATCCACCTTACTGGGTTCGTATTACAATTGTGGTTTCCCTCTCTTATTCTCAATACTCCTGCGTCATGCAGCCTACTACTTGACAGGTTTCACACATTTCTAGATACACGATGGATTTAACACCAATGCTAAGAGGTCTTAACAATATTCTGTCTCATCAAATTATCTTCCTCTCATGTCAAAACATGAGGGAACTGTGGGAAAAGTGTGCATAAGTTCTTCGAGCACAAAATACCTGGAGGTTTGGTTACAAGTCACAAAAGCCCAGAACAAGCATTTCTTCTAAAGCAATCTTTGCATTTAAAGGAACATGGGGAGATTTAATCTCCAGTTCTCTGAAAACTCTGGGTGGGGCGGTTTTTTATCTTGGGTGGCGTTTTGGTTTTTTTGGTTTGGTTTGTTTGTTTGGGGGTTTTTTGTTTGGTTTGGTGTTTTTTTTTTACTTTTTTAATCCTTCCATGTCCCTTTATGTTATTTCCTCTAAACTACTGAAGATTTTAAGAAATAAAGGGAATCCAAGGACAGATGATGAAAGTGATTAGAGGCTTAGAAAGACTTCCATATGAGGAGAGATTATTAAAAAGACTGCCTCGCTTACAGACAAGATGAATGGGAGGGTTCATAAAAGAGACATGGAAAATGAGAAGAGAGGTTCCACAGAATATTTTTTCATCACTAGAAAGCAAGCAGATTTTTGTATTCTTTTTTAACGTAAGCCTTTGTGTGTATGTGTGTGTGTGATCACGTAAGAATCAGTTCATCTACAAAACACTGATTCTACTGCTAGTCTCACTAAGGCTGAAAGCACAAGACTGAAATTAAGGTTCTGTTTCCTAATAAATAAACCACATCTGTTCCAGGTAAGGGGTTTTTTTTGCTTTTAAATAAAGGAAGAATTCCAACCATTTAAAATATAAGTCTACCACTAATAAGAGAAAGTTCTGAATAGGCTCCAATATGCAAGAAATTACATAATTTGGACTTCCTACATCTCTCTCCAAAGCATCTGGTTCTTGTTAAAAGCAGGACGTATCACAGCATAGACTTCTGATGGGATGCAGTAAAGGAACTCACATGTTTTAGTTGTACCAGAAAAGGATTTTTTTTCTCCTACAAAGTCATACATATAAATTTATAATTCTGATGAAATGTAGAGGATGTTGTACTGTAAGGGGTAAGAGATCAAGAGTGAAGAGCAATGCCCTGATCAGCAGCAAAAAAAAAAAAAAAAAGTGCACACAGGTTTCTGAGATCTAAATAGGACAACCTGGTGAGCATTTAGAGATGACAGCTTTAATAGAGCCTTGAAAGGCAGTCCTGACACAATGCGCTATAAGCAAAAGTCAACACAATGAGGCATAAATTAGCATAGCCAAGCTAGTTTGAGCATCAGGGATGTCACTATTGCAATTGCATAGACTTCTGCATGGACTTATTGCTAAGAAGAACTGTGTAGCCAGAATATGAGCACCTCTACATTTCCCACAGTAGTCACTTCAAAAACAAGTCCCTTAAGAAAGCACCATTACATTCTAGCTGTTCTGCAAGCTACATTCCAGCAAAAACAGTACTTGGTGCAGGACAGCTAAAAACGCAACCCTTGTTCCCAAGTCTTGTCCTACTTCATAGCGTTAAGTCCCAATTCTGAAAAATATGAATTAGTTTTTTAAGTGTTGCAGGAATCACCTAGTACTGGATGTGAAGCACAGTGAAGCTGCAGCAACTGGTATTAGCGGAGGTGAACGGAAGCATTTTGCACAGCTGGATTGTTCACATCGATTCCACCTGTGCCACCTGAGCAAGCTGCAGTAATCCAGATTATAGTGACCAGATACAGTTGACAAGGAGAGACAGGAAAGCCTCTAAAGTACTCTTCTTAAATCTGGGGATGGATGATTTACCAGAATCAAGGTAACCACATGACTGTAAATCCATACCCACCAAACAATACCAAAACTGTAAGGCACTGACACCATTGTGCTATGAGCAATAGTGGTTTTACGCCCCACTCTCTGCTGCCATGCACAGCATGGCTTGGCTCTCTTGTGACTCGTCCAAGGAAGAGAACAGGAATCCAGCCTCTCCCTCAAAATACTTGGCCTCCTTAGGCATCAGTGACTCCCCCCATGTTAAGAATGACTCAGCTGTTCCTCATTAAAGTGTTTTCTGTCTTTCAGGCATTGGGAACTTTGCACAAAATGTGGCATATGGTTCATTGGAGTGTTGTTAGCAGAGCCCAGGATCTCTTACACTTGAACAGGCCCCAGAGAAGAAGGTATTGAAGAGAACTGTTGACTTACACTGAAGGAGCTTTTTAGACGCACGAGGAATTTTAAAATCCTTTTCCCCTCAGATTCTACTGTTTGCAGACTCCAAAGGCTATATTCACAGCAAATTGTCCTAGCACTTCTGCAAACTGAATTTGGTGATGCCTTCCTATCATATATAGAGCTGCAATTTTGGAACAGTCTTCTTGCCTTGAAGCCTGAAGAGAAGGCTTCACTTTCTCCTAAGAAAAATCCTTAGATGAGCTTGAAAGCCACAGGCAGTAACCTATAGGGCTGAAGAAGTTCTTAAAAACTTGCCCATCCAAAAACTGGACTCAGTAGCCTAGGTTATATAGCCTATGAGATCCAACAACTACTTTGACAGCTCTCTTGCCCCCAAACTTTACTACATGTATCTCACCCTACTTAACTCTACACTGTCACTATCCTGCTGACAAAACCAACTTCAAGACTTTATTCACACAAGCAAGTCTCCCTACTTTGTTCAGGTTCTCCGAGTGTCCTCCCATCAGCTCCATATTGCTGTGTTCATGCTCTGCATTGCTTTTCTCCATGAATGTTTGGGAATGGCAGCTTTAACTCCAGCTGCTCTGATGTTTTTCATTCAGTCTCTACAAGAAAAACAGCATCCTGCTTTCTTGCTTCTTTCCTCCATAATACCACCAGTTGTTGCTGCTCCAGTGCCTGACCATCTCCACCCCTCTGGTTAAAGCAGTAAGAGGAATGTTGAAGTTTCCCAGGCAATTTACCCAGGAAAAATTCCTATTTGTCTGGAATAGGCACAAATGGATTTAATGCAAGCTCTTGCTATCATCTGGAACATACAACCTGCTGCTACCACCTCTAGAAATTATATTAGAAGTTCTGTGACAGCAGACACAACTTGTAAAGCCCAGACCCTGGAGCAATGCAGTTACACAGAACTCCACAAACTTGTTACAGAGTTATATTTTCAGTTGTCATGGTTGAAGGAAAGGAAGGAGAGGCTAATTCTGAAAAAGAAACCCAAAATCAGACAAAAGCCCAATGCTCATAAAATTGTCTTAAGCATGAGATGTATTTTTTTTTAAATAAACAAGTACAATATGCTACACTGAATGTTAGCCCCGATTTTAAGCAGATCAGCTAGACTACAGAGTAGAGGCTTCAGATTTAACTAAACATACCAAAAATCATCCTTGAAGGTATGCAACTTTCTTCCATGGCCACAATCCGCTAAGTAGCACATTATTCTTACAGCAATAAAAATGAAGAAAAACTACTTAGCTCAACTTGCAAAGAGAAAACCAAAAAAATGGGTTATGACTAGCATGTGCTCCTGGCTTACAGTATGAAGACCAATGTAGAGTCCAGTAGTAAAGGTACAGTGCACCTTTTTACCTATTTCTAAAACATTTTATTATGCAGCAACAATCTGAAGTGCACCATTTTCTTTCCAGCAGATGGGCTGGAGAGATGGAAAGAACGGCTATCATGCAGTACAGGAAAACAAAACAATCCCCTCCCCAAAAATCCTCCCCTCTTCCCCCCCCACAAGTCTTCCTTCACAAATAGCCAATCTCTACACTTCAAACTGGAGAGCTCATTTACTGACACATGCACGCTCTCATCTTGGCATAGGAAACAGAATTTCTGTTGGTATCTTAAGTCAACTAGATCAACCGTTTTCTTTGCGTCTATCTGCACTGTGCAGTAAGAAAGACCCACACCTGTTTAAACTAAGTATTTAGGTAAGAATTTGGAATCTATGCATAAACTAGAGAGCACCAGCATGACATTCATCACAAAGAATACTAAACATATGAAAGGATCACAAGCATCGCCTATACATGATTATCGTATATGGTATGAACAAACCATCAAAATAGCAAGATAAAGAAAGATGAACTTGCCAGCAGACCATAAGAAAAAGCATCCCGTAAAGACATGTCATGGATATACAGTATACTCTTACTTTATCCCTAGCTCACACAAACACACCTTTTCCATCGATCTCCATCCCTGCCACAGCCCTCTTGTAAGTAACTTCAGGAAAGGAACCATAATCATTCTCTGCTGCTAGAAACAATCACCTGAGCCACAGTTTATTAAACAGAGACCTTGAGAAACAGGACCAAAAGCCAGACATCCACCAGTGTGATCTAGACGGAATCGGCTCATTAAATCATCAGCACTGTTGACTTTGGTGAGTAAGTTCTCCGTTACTCTCACCTCCAACTAGTTTCTGTTGTGGATGTGTCCTGAACATGAGTTTCTGTGAAACCAACAACCGGTTTCGTTTTTTTATGCCAGAGAGTAGGAACACGAAGTGAAAAAAAAAAGCACAGATAAAAGAAAACCCTTTCCTTTAGATCGACGACCTACCAAACGCGGAGACCCCTCGGGGGAAGGCGCTGCAGGTTGGCGGCTGCCTCTCTCAGCGCTCGGCACCCCGGCCCACCACCCTTTCTGCCCCTCCCCGGGCCTCCTGCTTCCACGGGTGATCCCGACAACCCCTTACCCGCGTCTTGCGGCGACGGTGCCGCTCCGGGTCCGAGTACGTTCTGTCCACGGCCAGCGCCGTGTCGCTGCCCGGCATGACTGCCCGCCACACCGCCTCCTCCTCCTTCTCCTCAGCGGCGCCCGCCAAAAGCCCGCGCGCAGGTACGGAGGGGGTCCTGCCAACGGCCGCCCAACCGCCAGCCCAACGGCCGCGGCTCTGAGGGGGCTCGGGGCTGCCGCCGCGGTGCGGGAGGGACGGGCACGCCCGAAGGGGCGTGCCCGGCCCTCCCGCACCGCGGCGGCAGCCGCTCCGCTTCTCCTCAGCCGCCACACCCGCGTTAACCCCCTCAGCTCCCCGCAGCGGCGCCTGAGGGTCGGGGCTGTGGCGTTCCCCTTCCCTCCTTAGAGAACGGGAGGACGCCTGAGGGGAGAAGAGGCTGGGAGAGCGCCTCAGCGTGAGGGAATGGGCCATAAAAAGAACTTTTTAAAAATTATTATTATTTTATTTTAATTTTTCTGGGGTTCTACGGGGCAGCAGGAGCCGGGGAGAGGATGGTCTCCCAGAGGTACAGTTGGATGGAGGGGTGACAGTCCCACCCCTCCTGAGGACAACCGCTGCTGCTGGAAAGCCCTCTGTACCCAGAGCTTCTCGCAATAAACGTGCTGTAAAAATTCTGTGAAACCAACTGAATAATCAGAGTCTGCATTTTCCAAAGTGGTCAGTGGAGCACAGCAACCAGTTCAGTCCCCATTTCTGTCCACTATACGTACGAGATAAATCTTTCAGTGTCCTAGTACCGGGGAGCTTCAAACTACACTTGTGAACAGCCAAGGAAAACATGTTTTCTGCCCGGCCCTCCCGCACCGCGGCGGCAGCCGCTCCGCTTCTCCTCAGCCGCCACACCCGCGTTAACCCCCTCAGCTCCCCGCAGCGGCGCCTGAGGGTCGGGGCTGTGGCGTTCCCCTTCCCTCCTTAGAGAACGGGAGGACGCCTGAGGGGAGAAGAGGCTGGGAGAGCGCCTCAGCGTGAGGGAATGGGCCATAAAAAGAACTTTTTAAAAATTATTATTATTTTATTTTAATTTTTCTGGGGTTCTACGGGGCAGCAGGAGCCGGGGAGAGGATGGTCTCCCAGAGGTACAGTTGGATGGAGGGGTGACAGTCCCACCCCTCCTGAGGACAACCGCTGCTGCTGGAAAGCCCTCTGTACCCAGAGCTTCTCGCAATAAACGTGCTGTAAAAATTCTGTGAAACCAACTGAATAATCAGAGTCTGCATTTTCCAAAGTGGTCAGTGGAGCACAGCAACCAGTTCAGTCCCCATTTCTGTCCACTATACGTACGAGATAAATCTTTCAGTGTCCTAGTACCGGGGAGCTTCAAACTACACTTGTGAACAGCCAAGGAAAACATGTTTTCTAGGGCATGCATACACCAATGTACTTAAATTCCTAAGAGTTGAGCAGAGCTCCTGACTGATTTTTTGCATTTATCTTCAGAATACCTATGCTGAGGAGTGTACTTAAATCAGTAGCCCCCAACACATTTGAAACCACTGAAAAGCGTAAGAAGAATACAGTTCTTATTATCACTCATTAAGCTCTACAGGAGATGTACTTTTTCCTTTGCTGGAATAAGTAGAATTGTTGGGTTACCACTTCTACCTTGTTACACAAAGTAAATCTGGAGCTCCTTCAGACTGACTCCCTTGCAACAGCAGCAGGACTTCACCTTTTAAGTGCAGTTGGGACGATGCTCATGCATGAGTCACACTGCTTTGCTTCTCTAGCTGAGGACAGCAGCAGTCCCAAGGCATGTGCATGTGTAAACATATATAAATTAACACAGCTAGCTGTCCTAGAGGGGACTTGCAGCTTTTAAAAAGTATTCCCTGCAACCATTTACATTTTTATTGGAATCTTGTGTTCTGAGATAACACTCCTACCGGAGGTTAATTATCTGTCACAAGGGCCTCTTTGGTCTTTCAAAAATGAAAAATCTGAAATTCCAAAGTAAAATCAAGTCCTAGACCTCACCTTCTTGGCAGGGGTTTCAACTCTAACGCCAGTTTTTACAAAGTCATCCCAAACTCATAGACGAATGAAGTAGTGGGTGGGTTCACTGAGGGGCATGTGATGACTTGCCATCCTTCCTATACTTTTTATGCAGCTTCCCATACTTCTTATGCAGCTGAGCAAGATAGGTGAAGTTGGAAAGCTGCCGGGAAAAAGTTTTAAAATGGGAGTCAGATTTCTTCAGTCCTTCAGCTCAGACATGAAAGCTAATTCATGACTCCAACTGTGCCAGAGGGTGGGGAACTCTGGAGGCAAAGGTCAGCAAGAAATTAAACAGGCAAATGTTGTGGGTTTGGGGTTTTCACTGAAGTCGTAATTGCTCATTTCCAAAGGGGACTGCACACTTTCAAGCACCTAGGATGAAACATCCTTATTTCCTTAGAAACTTTCGAGAGGTTTTTTAAGCCTTGCCAGATGTAGTTGATCAAAGCATAGAGAGGGTAAGTAGTTGGAAAAGAGGCACATAAAAGGCTTCAACTGCTTGGCTCTTTAGTAATACAAGGCTTATTATAGATCATAGTTTATTCAAAAGTTTAAGAGTTTTATTTAAATTAATATCAGAGCAGACTAGCCACAAAACAATGAAGCTTCAAGATGAAGAGAGGCAGGCATGTGCAATATATATTTACAGGTATATCATGCATGGTTAGGCTCAGCAGTATTAACATATATACTAATATATTTATAGAGAAAGCACTTTCTCCTAGTGTAGCTTCTAAGAAGAGAGGATAATATGGTTAGTCTCATAAGAACTCGGTGTTGCATTACTCACACCTTCCAATCAAGCCTGTGGATCCGTTTGCTTGTGCGCTGCTCTCAGTGGTGGCAGTTACTGCCACCTGCACCAGCAACAACAGCTCCGGTGTCCTGGCCAGCAGAAAAAGCCCTGGCACTGGGTGGTTCCTGCAGGAGCTGTGAGCAGGGAAGGGGCAGCGGGCTGGGTGACTAGGAACAACTGCTGCACACCGTAGCCAGCTATGGTGGAGCAGAAGTAGCTGCTTGGGTAGAGGCACCTGGCCCATAGGTCAGGACAGCCCTTCCATGCAAGCCAAATGAGCAGCTGTTGCCATCTGGGCAGTCTCTGCAGATGCCACACTTTGCAAACATCTCAATAGATGTTTCTTTTTGTATGTTGGAGTTAAATCATCTTCATCTTCAGAATGTAACTTTAGCATATACCAAATCATGGTGCCATGCAATTCTTTGGCCAAAGGCTGCTCTTTCCCCCCTTTGTCTTTCCTCCTCACGCATGCACTGGTAGGTTCTCCCTGGCCTGCAGCAGGAGCAGAAAGACTGTTAGCCTGTGGCATGTTTGCGGAATACACTTCGTTTTCCTTGTTTGAGCAAAGAAAACTCCCCCTCCTCTCGCACACACAGTTGGTTTGTACAGCGCTCCTTCCCCACTCCAAAACAGGGACACAATTCCCAGAACGTGGCAATACACTGCACAGCACAGTACCTCTGACAGCCTCACCAGGTACTTCTCTCGCTGAATTCTTCAAAAGCCCACAGAGTTTGAATAAATAATCTTCCCACACACTGCACCTATTCCCAGCTGAACCCCTTCAACCCACTAAAGCAAATCCCTCCAGACACTGGAAGGAGCACGAGGCTGGACTCACAGTGACACAGAAGTGGTACTCTGTAGATGAACTCCCTCATCCTTTGTTCATCTCACAAAGTATTTTTAAAATTCATTTCTATGGTTTAAATTAATGACAAAAGTGCTAAATCACCCCAGCCATCCATTGTGTCAATTTTAAAGTTCAAATACCTCAAAATCCCTCACTGACTGCTCAGCCATCCTTAGAAGCACAGAGTAATTTTATCCTTTTCCAGTACTTTCCCTCACTTCAGCACACTAGCATCACCCACAATGTTTAACTTTTGTTATTGACATTATTCTGTCTGCCTTTTTTAAGTGACCTTCTAAAAAATAACACCAATTAGGAATGGTTAGACTGAAGATCACTATACAAGGGCATACATCACTGTATTGGGCTTTCAGAGGGACAGACATCAACAGGTGGGTTTTGCCTGCATTGCCCTGTTTTAGGAAAATCAAATCTCCGGAGGGGCAGCAGAGGCACCTGCCCAAAGCAGGTCTGTCAGGCAACACCTGAACTTTCTACAGACAACTCCTGTCTCATTCTTCCCTGCACAGGCTGTGCCTTTGCCATCCATTTGCTGCAGCATGACCCTGCACAGTGGAGACAGCAGTCCCACCTGTGAGCCATGAATTATCTGTACTGACTCATGCACAGGCCACAGAGGCAGAAGAAGAGGTAGTGGCGACAGTGGGATTACTTAGCAAAACCCAACTCCTACACAACATAATCCTATAGAAGGGGCTGTGCACACGCACTGGAAAGTAAATACCACAAGAAAGGAAACCTTTATGGAGATGGAAAGCATGAAAATCCTATCATTAGGAGGCTGATTTGAGGTTTGGCCCCGTTCTCTTTCCAGTTTTATCATGAACCTGGATCTTGGCAATTTACTTTACTTCTTTGGACTTCCACTACCACATTTGTAAAAGAAACACAGAACATCTTCTCCAGAGAGCTTCGAGCTCTCTGGAATTAAAAATGTTATTATTAAATGTTGTGCTGTGATGTTGTTGGGAGAAATTAAACATACACCGTCAAGTGTATATTGGCAAAGGTACAATCAGGAAGAAGATGAAGGTCCCTTTTCCTACAGTGGCAACATCTGTACTCTAAACAGGATACTGGGGCTTCTTACGAGAGACTTTTTTAACATGCCCTCCAAATCTTTTTCCAAAAGCTTGCAGCAACCAGCCTCTGAGGGAAAGGTCTACGTGATGACAGACGCTCAGTGCCATTTCTAAGTCTGACGGCAAATGGGACAGTGCTGAGTGACGTCTGTCTTGCAATTATCCGTGAGCACACTGTCACAGTTGTCAGTTTATCTGCCAAAGCATGAGCCTCTCACACCCACAGGAAAGGAGATACTCCGCTTGTCTGTACCCAGCACAAACTACCAAGGGATCACACTGAGACTTACAGACTGCCAAGCCGTGACATTCACTCAGAAGACGTTGATAAACATTCAGATATCAAACGAAAATTTTAATTCGACTCCTCCCCTGTCCTCCCCTCATT